AGCTGTGGACCGATTTTGTAGAAATTCATCCAAATTGAATGACCCCCTTGGGAAATCTATTTATTTATTTCTTTGAATAAAACATCTCTGGTTCTAAATGAGCCGTCTTGTCACTATACCTGTTTCAATTTTGGCAACTATTTAGACAAATTGGACTAAAAACCCACAGCTTTAAACAGAACTTCCTGACTTGTCACTGCACAGCTAAACCTTCGATTCGCTTGCATGGTTTTGACATTCTATGGCTTCTACAACTAAGGGGCACAACAATCAAAATGTTTTTGGTTTGTTTTAATGTTTTTGCCTAAAAATGCAATAGAAAAGAGTCGCATCCTCTAATCGGTGATTCATTTTATAGGTTTCTACAAACAGCTGTCATAGCTTGTCATTGCTTAGTCAACTACTCTTCTGATGCAGAATCAAGAGACCCCTTTATTTCATTCCTCCACCTTATCCTTTGCTCTTAACACTCTTCATGGCAATCTTTCGGCCCTTAATTACACCAAGACTGATCCCCCTGTCACGGTATTTGATGGATTACATTTCACGTCTACTTGAATGTACAAATTACAACCTATAAGCAGTTGATTAGTCTCTTGATAATGCTTTTGCCAAATCATGACCCAATTTATTAGCACTGGTAGCATAAAATTGGAATGCCCGAAACATCCTAGCCACCTAAAAGTAATACGAACGCTCAAATGGTTCCCTAAAATAAGGATCCTACTACCCTTATTATTTGAAGCAGTAAACAATTCCGCATTTTAAAAGACTACTCTTATAACTTTGTAATTCTTATAAATTAGTACATTGTAAAAACTTTAAAAAAAATTTATATCAACAATTCATCAAAATGATTTTAAAAATCCTTCATTAAGAAATGAAACAAAAGTCGTAGTACGCATCTTGTGTTTAATACATGCCACAAGTTTCGATGAGTGCCATGCAGGAAACTCACTTCATTCGATTTTGATTATTTTTAACTGCCGCATCAGAAAATTTCACTCCTTATGAAAGTAAAAAGCAGAATATGAAAGCTATAATAGTAAAAGAACATTAAGGTGATTGCTAGTAAAAAACGCCTACTGCTAGTGTATGGCGCGTAGACACACTTAATCATTGAAAAGCAGCTATTAAACAAGTCGGGATCAGGGAGGCATGTTCAGGACCACCGTGATCATTTACAGTTCATTTTGAGAAATGCGACCGCCATGGATATTAAAAATGTCATTGCCCTTCGGTTTCTTTAGCTCTAAAATTGAAGCCAACAAACTTCCTGCTCATGCAAACGTTTGACAAAAAGCGAGAGGAGAGGTGTAGAGGGAGTTTATATTTCGAGATTTAAATCGTACCAAACGGCCCGCAATACGATTAGCCATGACTTAGAAAGGTTTATCCATTTGTGTAGTTGTTTTTAGCAGCAATAGACAATTTTAAAATTCGCAACTCCAGCGTTCAGTGCATTTTTTTTCAAAAAAGTACTCCTTTAAAGTCTCTGAGGCATATCAAGTTAAAAGCACCTTTTGCCCTATGCATAATTGATGCGTGGCACATGCATGGCAGCACGCTGGTCAAACCCGATGTCTGAATTTTAAAATATGAACGAAATGAAGGACTTAGGTTGCGGAGAACGACAAGTTATTAAAAAAATAATTCCAAAAGCGCCTACCTTCAGCAAATTGGACTCATTTCAGAAAGCTTCTTTTATTCAAAACTTAACTGTGCCTCAACTGCAACAACAGTTGCCTAAAAGTCAACGAAACACAAGCTTTTCAGTCGTCTGGACGTGCACAAATGCTTGAGATATCATTAAAAGATATCTGCATTAAGAACGAGTTAAATGTGTATTAGATTTTATAGTGGATAGCTGTCCCGTATCTCACCACGTCGATAAACACATCTGCAGCTCGAAATGTTGCTACTGGTATTTTACTTAAGGGTATCATTTGCAATTCCTGACTATTTTAGTCGGCCGCAATGCAAATAGTTAGTACATGCTGATGAGATCTTGAGGTTAATAGATAACAAGTTTTGCAGCAAGTGACAACCCGTTGTGAGTCAAATTATAGTGATAAATAACCTGTCACTAAAATTTTTTTGGTATTTTAGTAGAGCCATTTTAAGTCGTAGACATTAACGAAGCAGTAATTAAGGCTGTATGCAAATGAAATTTTTTGATTCCTCGCCTTTTTTGTTTCAGTTCTAAGAAACACTCCGTAATTTACTCAGGTATGAATTTATATACATAGAAAAAAAATTTAAAAAGAAATTCTTTATTTTTGATATGTTTCCTATGTGGTGGCACCTTTTTGCGGGCAATGTAGCGATGTGTGCCATCTTTCACAATCAAAGTCGAAAGCACCGCATCAGTATCACTTACCCGTGCTTCAGCGTGGCCTCACAGTCAATCCAGGAAGGCGCAGTCTGGGTCCACTGCAGAATACTTGCTTGATATCGACGATAACTACGTACTTGATAGTTTTGGACCAGTGACGCTTTAAAAACCCTGAAAATGGAATTAACTTGTCTTTTTAGGTCACATGTAGAAATGAATACACAATGCATTCTAATACAAACGCAGAATTTCCCCGAACTTTGTGTGGTAAGCGCGTTATGCTGTGGGGCACCAGCTTCCATGCGCTCTGTAGCATGTAAATGATTTGACATTAACGCAATCGTCTCATAAAGCGAATGGATTCCAAAATTTATTTGCTGAAAGAAAAGACAATTTCATTGTTAACAAATCAATCATGATTTAATGTGGCTGCATTTGAAACCCAAAGTTGGCAGTTTGTCGCAGTCCTTCGTGTATGAATCCGTTTTCATTTTGGTAAGCATGTTTTGTGGTTGGATGGAACTAAGCGAAATTTCTGACATTAAGGCAAAATGCGTATTTGTGACTAAATACGTATGAGGTTGAACTTAGGCAGCTGTTTGCAATAAAGTATTTTTCTGTCTACTGCTGTAACTAACACCTATAAAATATTATTATTATATTGTTAAACTTTTCCACAGTGCATGCCTTGTTATCTAGATAAATTCTGTACAGCCTAGAATTATGGAGTTAAAGGTATCAAAATGGTTATATTTTAATCTACAAGGTGGGAGAGGCTCCTAGTGATAATTATTGTTCGATGTAGTCTGTAATTTAGTGATGTAACACTTTAGACCTTAATTTGCGAGTATATACGCTCTAAGAATTAGTCCGCCGTCAAATTAAATCAGACCTAATCCTCCAATTACCCAGTTACTGGCACAGAATTCGCACCTCACTGAAAGTGTTCTTTTATGTACTTCTACCAGTACACTCGGTCGTCATTTCATGACGCCTAATTTTTAACAATTTATGGGGGAAAATTTTAAGAAGTCTGAGAAATTTTATTATCTACACACAGAGCGACTAGAATTTGTTGACTGGTCCCATAATTCATGTGATCGCAGACCTTATTTTTCAGTGTGCTTCAACTTGTGAAGCATCATATTACTGAAAGTGGAGTGAAGTGCTGGTTGTTAACTTCCGATTAGGTGCTTCAGCAGTTATTCGAAATTCAATTTGCCACACAGTGTGTAAGGCAAACTCTTAAAAGCTAGTTTCGGTACCATAAAACGCTATAAGTTGTGGAAATTTAGTCGATTTGTCTTACTGGCCAAAGTGTGTTGTGAGGAACTTCTTCTAATTTTTAATCAAAAATTACATAATGACAAAATAAACAACATTAAGGTCCTTTGTTTACAGAAACTGAAAGACCAAAGTATTAATGTCTTGGTTGAACAGAACTTGAAATCGGTCAAGAAATAGGACAAAAATAGGCTGGGAATAAAGATCAAAATACAAAAAAAGGATTTAACGGCTCCAGTTTGGTCAAGGTTGCTGATTTACATGAAAATAACTGAACCTGTCTGCAACGTTGTTTTGACATTGAGGAATGCAAAACAGACACGAGGCGGGAAAACTACATTTCGCCCCTAAATCTTCATTATTTCACAGGACTGGAACGCTGATAAAACAACGACAACTTCCTTTTTCCTGTCTCTAATTTTTCAATAAAACGCGTCAAAACAAGCAAGTGGAGGAGAGGATTTTAAGGGTTTTTTTTAGCGGGTGATTGGCAGTGCAACCTGACGGGCACCTGGCGTGTGCGTGGATTGGTGTAGAATAAAAAAACACTGGCTGTCTCAGCAGCGGTTAAAAGGTGACATATTTCAGTAAAATGAACCACCTTAATTAACTCGTGATTGTCCTAGACCAATAGTTAAATCAGCTATTTCTTATTCGAAAATCAACCAATAGGAGCGCGCTAAGTCTTAACAAGGGAACGATTCAGTAGCAGCATACAATGGTTCTCATCTATGTTGTACATGAAATATCAGGAAACTCGGCCTTCGGCAAAGTCAAATTAAAATAAGCTTTTCTGCCTAGAGCATCAAACCATTTCGGGAGCATCTAGAAACTTCCCCTAACTCTGTATAAGGGTTTGAGTAAATCAAAACGAGGTAACTTTCCTGCTTGGACTTTTTGCCTACATGTTTTGCTAAAAAAGATTACAAGGATTAATTTTCGTTGGGACACTGCTCCAGCATTCTAAGTAATTGGTTTTTGTTGCCTTAAGCATAGAGTTTTTTTGCAAATCAAATAAAATAGCTGATTTGGGAACAGCACTATTTCCTTCAAAAGATACCTTAGTAACTGCCATTTACAAGTTTCAGTAAAATCCTTTATTTTCATCTCCTTTCAATTAAATAACAATTGCTGCAAGTGTTCTGCTAGTATTAGGATCTCCATTCTTCATTGTTTTCTCCCCTCTAATGTTACTCGCTAGCGATAGCTAATATATGCAAATAGCAATTACATTTCTTAAAGCTGAAGTGAACATTTTGAGTGATTTTAAATCAAGAGTACAAACCAGCATCCAATCATGAAACAAATGTTGCAGCGAAAGATAAAATAAGGTATCAATACGTGAAAAGACATCACAGAGATCTAAATAAAAACTGTATCCTCATATTGTATCCTCTTGGCTTTCATAATCTAACGCTTGATCCTTCATAAGACCAATACAAGGACCCAGCAACCGCTCAAAACTCTCCACACCCAACATTGCCAATGTAACATCAGTGACTGCGTACACGCTTGCAGCACGCGGTTTGTTGCTTAAAAGCGCCAGCTCACCAAAATACCCTCCTTTTTCAATTTTTCCGAGCTCCTTTTCAGTGCTTCCTTGTCGTCTCCTGACACCGACAACACCTTCCATTACGAAGAAGAGCGCATCTCCTGGGTCGCCCTCACGAATGATGATTTCGCTCTTTGGGATCGATCTCCGCTGTAAGTTGTCGGCCAGCGACATTCGCTGGTAAGGAGTTAGATCCTGAAGGATCGGCACGGAGTGCAGCAGTTCTATGAAGGCACGTCGGCGCTTCGCTGCATGACCCAGCACGTGCCGCCTGAAAGACTGCCTACTCAAAGCCCAGAGTATTCCCTCTGTCACTGCGGTGACTGTTGCACTTCGAGGTGAGTTGTACATTAGAGCCAGTTCACCGAAAAACCCCTCATTTTCGTACACCTTCACTACCTTCACACCACTCACTCTATCTTCAATTTTTACTTCAAACCTGCCGGAATCAATGACGTAGAAATTGTCTCCATCATCATGCTGCTTAATTATGTCCTCTTCAGGCTCTGCTGTTTTCGTGAACATGGCATTTATAACATCAACAAGCTCTGCATCATCAAGTTCACTAAAAAGGACAATTTTTCTACAAACGTCCTTCAAACGTGCAATCTGTTCCGGTGTTTTCTCATAAAAACTGTTCCTGCGTCCCTCCAGACTACCCTCATTTTCTTCGTCCTCGTCCGGATTAAATGGCTCTGCAGTCACGCTGTCTCTTCTTGTGGAAGACCGCTGAGCTGCCATTTCCATCATTTTTTCAGCATACTCGTCATCCATATCTTCACTGTTGTCTGTATCAACTGAATGTTGAGTTTCTGACTTCATGCTACTCTCACTGTTATTTGCTAGGCGGGTGAAATAGCTGACTGCAAAACGTGGTATATTTTTGGGTTTGCTTTGAAGGATGGCAATAGTGAAATCTTGTAGGAGTTTTATCAGTCCTTCGGGCACATCCGGTTGCTCATTTGCCATAGCATTCAGCGGAAAGGAGAAAGGGATGCGTGCTGAGGGCACCCAATCGCGAAGGGGAGCGGGTCGGACGTAAAACACGGTTGGAATTATGGATTTTCGGAACCACGTGGTGTAGTGTCACCTTTCCGGACTGCTACAGATACACTGTAGTGGTTCCTCGTTAGACAAATGTCCATAAGTAAACCTCTTTTGCATACATCAAAGGTTGCATTTTTATCATTTATGAAATTGAAGTAGTTACTTTAGAACCTGAGAACACGTAGTGATGGGAGCTAAAATGCCGACTTTTCGTGAGGGTAAGTATCCACAAAATAAAATAAACATTGACGCGACTAGTTGAGCACTAATTACTACCCTTAATTCTGCTTTAATGTTATACATCGCCGTTTTACAACTATGTTGGGACCAACTATCCAGGTTAATGGAACCCGACGTATAAGTTTTTTCACGCATTTTCACGAGTTGAAAAATGATGACGTCCGTTATGCGTGAATTTAAGCAGAATAATTTGCAAAAGAGAGTCATAATAATTCATGATTTCTGTCATAATGGGAAGTTTAAGCCATCTGAGGAGATTTGCGGATAATTTTTCTAAGTTTGGGAAAAACTAACACAACATTAGGCTCGAACTCGGTCCCGATAATTTGTCCTAGCAGCTTTTTCTTACCTTGAGTACGGAAATTTATTGTCGAAAGGCGGTATGAATTGAAGCTATTCCTTAAAGATATTAAAAGTAAAACTGCAATTTTTTAGGAATGTTTCAGATGATACGATGCATGATTTCCGGCTATAAATACTTGACAAACCCAGTGGCAAGCCCCACTCAACTACAACATCATTAAGTTATAATGGGAAGTTACATAGGTCCCACAGTGATTAAAGGGTGAAATTCAGCAATTACTTTTATGCATGTTATTCACCTTACTTAAAGTAAAGTTAATAGCAAACACAGTTCTTTTTTTTCATGAAAATAGCACCCGCAAGACTCGACAAGCATGTGTTCATCTACTTCGACAGTTCTTCAGATTGATTAGACGCCATATTTAAGGGACTGTTGTTAAGTAATTGGGTGGTAAATATTTCACTACAAAGGATCATTGTTAACATCCTTTGGGATATTAGGATTTGAATTCATTTGGATGGATAATTGGAATAACTTTTCCTCTCATTAGGACATTTTAAAAGGACTGACATTCATTCGGAAATATTTTTATCAAACCTACCTATATCAATTTTGATTACACGATTTTTTGACCGCTGATGGACGAGTCGCTCTGTATTGCCACCTGACCAATTTGTCTTCCACTGATTAACCGGGTCACCATATTGGATCATAACAGGTACACTTTTAAAATTCTGCTAGATTTATCTTACTGACAATAAATTTTCCTTCTCCAAATCATTGAACTTGTTTGGCTAACAAAAAATAGCGTACCAGTACGTCACTTGTATACCCACCTAACTACAATCACCAAAAAGTTGAACAAATATGAATTTGTACCTTGACAACACCAAAACATCATACTGGTTATTTTGGCAAATGAAAATCCTTATTTGAATTTATCTTCATATCTAATTTTTAACTTAAAAGTAAGTTGAATTGCCTAGATCGAGTGATCAATACCGTAATTTCAACGATATTCGGTTCATTCGTTCTACCTTTCATTTTGATATTTTTGCTATAGTTTCTTCCACATATTACATCACTTTATTGAACTCGTTGAGTCAAATCTACCATCCTCATTCGATCGGACTTCCGACCTGTGCTTGAAAGAACTGACGGTTGAGGGAGTAGTATGCTTCTGGTGGGAGTGTCCAATTATTGCTTGCTGGAGAGACAAAGATCTTTGTTACCGTATCCGAATTAGAGACCTACGTAGGATAAATGTCGACAACATGCCCGAGCCGCTTGTCTTTTTTCTCCCTTATTATGACTCATTTGCATAAAAAGTACGTGAATTGCGCTTCCAATCTTGCCATAGTGGGAAAAAAGCACCCTATTCAATGCAGTGCTCCCCCCTTGTGCAAGTAGCTGATTTGTTCTTGCAATGGCGCCAACGGTTCCCCAGTTTGCGAAGACTTGAAGCACTTATTCATCACATGGGATAGCTTTTAAAGAGAAGTAACCTCTAACCAAACCTCGGCATCCTTTATTTTTCTCCCTCACCTCTCTCCAATTTTATGCAAAAGGAAAAGTGTAGAGACTTGTCGATATAGGCAAAGAAAGCTTTCTAAAGCTCCTTTTTGGATAATAAAGTCGCCTAACTTACAATCGTTGAATGTGAATTGTAGGAGATACCTCATGGCTAAGTAACGGTGCTTAAAAGAGTGCAGGACAAAAAGGAATATGCGTTTTTAGAGTAAATTACAAAGGCAAAACGAGGGATTTATCAAATGTTTTTTCTTAACTTGCATGACCTGCCTAATTGGCAATTTCTTGACATAAGGCAGGTCAAAAGGTGGTAAAAAAGCATTTGGACAAGGTGATCTTATTTCTGCGATTTTTATAAAACGACATGGAGGTACGTAAGCCAGTTATTTCGGGATGATGAACAATCCTGACTCAAGTTGAGTCACGAGCTACATTCGTTTCAGACCATATGAATTTTAAATTGTTGCTAGGCCAATGCTAATTAACCAATTGTAAGCAACCATTAATGTCTTCCAAGTCAATTAAGGTGAATGTTATCAGGTCTGTTCTGAGCATCGAATGCGAACAAATGTATACCATTTGTTGAATGCATTGGTTTCTGTTTGAAACAATTTACTTTCACTCGGAAACGTTTGATTAGTATGTATAAAGAAGATCTTCGATTGTATGGTATTTCGACTGTTCTACCAACTAGTGATCAAAACAATTTACGACGTTGTCTTATGATATTCAGAATAATTGAAATTACAGGTCTTTGCTAAGTGCGTGACAAACAATTCTTACAAACCTGGGAAAAGCTTGTCCAGAAAGCATAATAGCATAAATAAATTGTGGGATCCACAATGTTGAAAACAAAATGTCCTAATTAGTGCATCAAATTGGAGACGGGCCAGGTTTTTCAGAAAAGCAATGTTTCGCAAGCGTCTTAACCTTGTTATACGGCTAATGGCAAATTTGGGATGTCAAATACATTACAAAGTAAACTGGTGAAAAAATCAAAATTGATGAATAGATATATTTTACGTTTAATGGAATCAGAAGTGCAAAGGCGATTAATGTCCTTCTTAAACACGTTCAGGTGAATACTTCCCGTCCTGTTTACAAATTATGTAGTCACAATTGTGTGGTCAGGTAGCAGCCCGAGACTTCCCCAAAGACAAAAGAAG